CTCTCTTCTGCGCGTGTACGCGCACGCATCTGCCTCTGTGTGTGTTTGTGTGTGTATTTGTGTGTGTGTGTGTGTGTGTGTGTGTGTGTGTGTGTGTGTGTGCGTGCGTGTGTGCGCGCACCGCGCGCATATGTGCGAGCGTACGAGTTTGAGTGCTAGTGCACATAATATCTCTCGAGCTTTCATGAACATATGGATGAGTTTTGCAGTTAACACTGCAGGTACGTGCTTGTGACAGTCATTCATATTCCAATACACGATAATCAAATGACCAAAGAAATGATGATCATAACAAAAAAGGCATACCCTCAGAGTGATGAGCACCCAGTCGTCATGGCCTAGCCTGTTATCCTGCACACAGAGACTGTCCACACATAAAGAACTGCCACTGACACGGACATGCAATGACCCCTTTGACAGCTGACGCACCTCCAACACCGAGCTGTCGACATTCGACGAAATAATGTGATAATAAGAACAGAAACATATGGGGTAAACACACATACAAACACACACACACATGCACGTATGCACGCACGCGCGCACACACCACACAAACACAAACGCACACATACACACACATACACACACACACACAAACACACACCACCCATTCATACACATACACACACATATAAACAACACACACACACACACACACACACACACACACACACACACACACATGTAACATGCCACTTTCATAGGAAGAATCCTAATATACATCATGTCTTCCATCGATATGTTAGGTTGTTTGACACTCAAAAGAGCCGGGATAGCAGTAAGAAACGAACGCGATGCTTTAATCACTTTTTTTTCCTATAGGCCTATACTCTATTAGTTCATTTGAGGCAGAACAGGTAGCACCCAAAATCACAAATAAATCATCATTATACAAATAAGAACATGTTGAATTTATCCCTACTACTAAATCCGAAACAAGAAGTCAGTTATTCCAGCCCTTACATCATCATCGCCATCATCATCATGATTGTTGCTCTCTTTACAATAACCACCATTCTTCTACTTTAAATCATGATTTAACTGTGAGCCCAAATAACACTGTCAGAAACTCGTTTCCAGCTCGAAACACAAAAATAAATTGGCCAGTCCAGGGTATAACCAAAAACCCACCACGTTGAAGAAAATCATAAGTATGGTTTAAAACAAACTGAATGCCAAAACCCGAGTGAAATACAGTATTTCGAGTATGTATGCGTCGAACTTTACTTCGTTTTAATTTGATATATTAGGAGGGTTGCCTTATGAAGTTGATAATAAAAGATACAGCAATAGGAGGGTGGTCTTTCTAACAGATCTTTAATTTGATGGAAATCGTTAGAAAACACCCGCTTCCGACTATTTTTTACAGCGCTGTTGGTTCCGAACTCGACCAAAAAGTGTAAAAGATTGCACTTCAAATCCAGCTAGCTTTGAATAAAGCCTCTTTTCTGTTCTCGGACAAGTACACACACAAACACACACACACACACACACACACACACACACACACACACACACACACACACACACACCCACACAGACACATATACAAACACAAAATATACACTGACAGTACACCACACACACACACACACACACATACACACACACACACACACACA